GTGGCCCGTGCTCGGGCAAACCCTGAGCAGGTGATTCATGATGCTCGCTCGGTGTGCTCGGGATACTCATGACGCTCGGTGGCCCGTGCTCGGGCACACCCTGAGCAGCTGATGCTCATGATGCTCGCTTGGTGGCCCGCCCTCGGGCAAACCCTGAGCAGCTGATGCTCATGATGCTCGCTTGGTGGCCCGGGCGCGGGCAAACCCTGAGCAGCTGATGCTCATGATGCTCGCTTGGTGGCCCGTGCTCGGGCAAACCCTGAGCAGCTGATGCTCATGATGCTCGCTTGGTGGCCCGTGCGCGGGCAAACCCTGAGCAGCTGATGCTCATGATGATCGCTTGGTGGCCCGTGCTCGGACATGCCCTGAGCAGCTGATGCTCATGATGCTCGCTTGGTGGCCCGTGCTCGGGCAAACCCTGAGCAGCTGATGCTCATGACTCATGATGCTCGCTTGGTGGCCCGTGCTCGGGCAAACCCTGAGCAGCTGATGCTCATGATGCTCGCTTGGTGGCCCATGCTCGGGCAAACCCTGAGCAGCTGATGCTCATGATGCTCGCTTGGTGGCCCGTGCTCGGGCAAACCCTGAGCAGCTGATGCTCATGATGCTCGCTTGGTGGCCCGTGCCGGGCAAACCCTGAGCAGCTGATGCTCATGATGCTCGCTTGGTGGCCCGTGCTCGGGCAAACCCTGAGCAGCTGATGCTCATGATGCTCGCTTGCAAACCCTGAGCAGCTGATGCTCATGATGCTCGCTTGGTGGCCCGTGCTCGGGCAAACCCTGAGCAGCTGATGCTCATGATGCTCGCTTGGTGGCCCGTGCTCGGGCAAACCCTGAGCAGCTGATGCTCATGATGCTCGCTTGGTGGCCCGTGCTCGGGCAAACCCTGAGCAGCTGATGCTCATGATGCTCGCTTGGTGGCCCGTGCTCGGGCAAACCCTGAGCAGCTGATGCTCATGACTCATGATGCTCGCTTGGTGGCCCGTGCTCGGGCAAACCCTGAGCAGCTGATGCTCATGATGCTCGCTTGGTGGCGTGGCTAGTGTGCTTTGAACGCGGAGCAGCCACCATATTTCAACTGCAAAGCAGCAAGGATTGCCCCGAGGCTTTGTTGGTTGGTGCTCTTTGTGGTTGATGTCGAAAAGCATTACTTCTCTCAGACAAACCATTTCTCAACTCTGAACCATGAGCCTCGCAAGGCCAACCTACCCAACGTTGCTTCCGTCATACGTCGGAACCTTGGCGAGACCTGAGGTCATTTCCTTCCTTTGTAAGGTGTGTGTTTGGCGTCGAAGTTTGTAGACTCATTGCAAGCTTGGTTTAGCTTCAAGGTACTGGGGCTACGAAGGTGTGACCCTTTTTGGCGGACACCTGAGAAAACTTTGGAAATGAGCGGCTGGGTGGGCACAATCACTATTTGGCATGGCTTCCGAAACACATCTATCAATCCGTCTCTAAGGCAGAGACAAGGGCGGCTTGAGCCATTGCCTTTGTGGCCTCGGTATGGGCATTTGCAACCAAACATGTCGCAATATGTAACCCCGCCAGCAATTGACAGTGGTGCATCGCAAGGCACTGCGACTGCACGCCTTGCAGTCGATCGTGTGCCTTCACCTCGGTGTCAGTGGAGTGGCGCAGACTCTGTATGTGACTCGTTCAGAGGTCCGGCGTTGCGTGAACTTTAAACATGCTCTCAAGGTGGCAACAAAGTGTCCTAGTGCATAGAAGTCTTTGTTGCCTTAAGTTTGCTCTCGGTTCGCTCACTGAAGCACAAAGCAGTTGTTAGCTTTCGCTCGGGGGCATCAGCTGAGACTCGTACCTGTTGCTCATGACCGTGGGGTCTTGCAGGTCAACTAGATCAGTCGTTTCATGCTCCCCGTTTCACTAGTAAATGCGCAACATGTTTCCGATTTGTAATGCAGCAGCGTAGTACAAGTGGAGTGCATGGCATTGACCCAATGCCATGTGCTCCACTTTTTCTGTGAAGTTTGGAGAGTTCTAAGAATTTACAACCAAGCATTGAACGGCGAGAAGATTCCATGGGAGGCGACCCGTGAGCTCTGTTAGTAGCACCCAAGCAAGACAAAGCTATGGCCCGTGCAATCATTCGTTCCTCTGACCTGTTACTGCTGTATGGCTTGCAAGTGCCAACAGACCTTTGAAGCGCAGGGCCCTTGCCTAAGGCTACTAGAGGTCAAGCCAACCTTCTGGCAAAGCCGAGTTCACAGAATCTCTCGACTATTTGATGCACTCCAGCCCAATTAAGGTACTGCCAGGAATGCCCACCCACCCGTGACTTGTTTTGCGCCTTACGCATTGTGCAATTTTGTGCAAAGGGCGGCGGGCTTTTCAAGCACAGTGAGATCGACTGCGCCGCGACACGACCCAAGGCTGGGGAGATCGTACATCAGAGTTGGTCTTGTATCGCTTGGTGCACGCAGGCAGAATCTGAGTTGTTTCGGTTTATTTTGCGCTGTTGCCATAAGCTCCTAGCAGACAGATGGCCGGGGGCCAGCCAAACCGTTGTCAGTCGAAGTCCTTCTTCACGAAGGCCGTGACCGAACGTTTTCCATCATACCGTTTCCTGGTCTCCAAACTATCCCAAACACCTTCTTGTGCCCCCACTAAACGGAGAAGGAGGACAAGCGCCCTTCTTCAAAAAAAAGGTAGTCAAACCTTGACCAGCTAGGTCTGAGAGCACTTCAGCACATGGCACGTCGGAGTTTCGCTGCAGAGGTCTTCGACTAGCGCGGAGGCAAGGTCAAGCCAGGAGCACATGCTGCATTTGGGGAAAGGGCCGACACTCGATTTTGATGACATGATTGGCTTTGCTCCGGCCCTTCGCCGTCTTTGGGACAGGCCACTCAGGAGAATCGTACACACTTCAGGGAGTAAGAAGGGACGAAGAAAGTGGTTGCGAATGGAATGTGAAGGATCCAGAAAGGATCAACAAGGGTATGAAATCGTTGAAGGCATTCACTTTGTGCTGCCAAGTGCCTTCATTGGGGCCCAAGCACGAAAGTCATCATGCGTTCGATATGTGGGGCTTGCCTGGTCGCAGGGCACAAAATGGCAGACACTGCTGATCGAGCGTCGCTCGCCTGCAGGGCCCTCGTTTTGCAGGATTCAGATTCATGCGGCTGGGAGAATCAACGAATGCCTGTCGTTCAGAATACACGGGCATCTTTTTTCTAGTTTGGGCAATGGTCTGTTCTGTTTTTGGTGTATTGTTGGTTTGTTGTTCGCTGGCATTGTAGTCTGGGAATTTTTTGGTTCTTCCGGCCCTTCCGGGATGAGCTTCCGTGGGGGTATCAGCACTTGGCAAGTTGCAACCTGCCTCACGGGGTGGATCCATGCCCAGTAAGCTTCCTCCACTATCCTCCACTTCGGGCACCTCTGTGACTTTCATGTTGCTCCACCCACAAACAGGCTTGTAGTCCCCATTGGGGCTTCCCTCTTTTTAAAGAATGTGGCCCCATGGGGCGATTCTAAAGCGCAAGCTTCAGGCTAGACGCGCACTTCTGAACGGCAAGCAGGTCATCCTGTTGTTGCTGCCTCGGTCCACGGCAGGAAATACTTTAGGCTTGTAGTAAGAGAACTAGACTCCTTGACGAGCTCACTCTCCATAAACAGTATGTGAACCTGCAGCACGGAAGTGTTTTCCACGTTTGAGTGTCAAGGCTTCGCTCAGGCCCCCTTCGCAATCGCTGGGTCCTCATACGACACATGCAGTGGGGTTGACGGGCTTATCTGGCAAGAGGCATCTAGCAGCAGTTTGGGTTTGTCCTGCATGCCTCAGGTGCAAAGGCTGTTTGGGCAGACTTCGCAGACGAGGCCTTGTGATTGTCGATTCGGATGCTGAGCTTTTTGTGCTTATGTGAGCTACATGCGCACCCTGTGAATGAATGCAAGCTGTGCCTACAGGAGCTGAAGTCGGAGCCCCAAAGTTCCGCCATTGCTGTCGTCATGGCCTTCCAACGGGCAAGCGATTTGGATTGCCAGACGCGAAGGTCTAATGTGGAACGGCAGTGGCAGTTGGCATCCTCGGCAAGAATCCTCATAGGCATTCCGCACACCATTAGCAGAAATGGACTGACAGCATTGCGCGCTCGCATTTATTTAATTCACTTCGTGCACAAGTTTACAAGCGAATTATAATGCGTTCTCTCATGCACTTCACTCCCTTGTTAACAGATTATTGGGCTGGAAACGCATGAATCTTGGACAGGCTTGCGGTTAGCCCACGGTCTATCATTAGGAAAGAAGCATTCTATCTTCACGAGCCCATAATCTGGATCTTGGTGCACGCCCTATTAAAAGTAGTAAATTCGTGCGTTAACTTACAATTTACTATTTTAATGGGCTTATCTTGACAGGCTTGGAGACCGTACCAAAAGGCTTACCAGGAAACCCTCAATTATAATGGTAACACTTCTAGCTCCTAAAGGTGGATCATGAGTGACAGGGTGACACACTACTTTCAAGGGTCTTTTCGCGGTTAGTGGAACGAAGTCTTGCAGCGAGCATGCTCGAACGTCTTGGAGCACTCGCATGAGTGAAGCAGTTGCCGTCATGCAAGCACGTCCACCCCGATCACTCATCGTGAGCAATCTCACATCTACGGCATCGGCAGGTGCCCATGGAGCAGGACTCGCCTGGGCCGCCTTCATGCCAGTCAGAGCCATAAGTTGGCTTTGTAGCCGGTGCCAACAAAGTTTGTGCAAACACGTTTACGGAACACGCAACCTTTGCGAACAGCAACGGCGCTTGGACAGTTGTTGCAGTCATCATGCACGTGCTGCGGCTCGGCAGCTTCCTAGGCAGTTTCGACAAGCATCGCCATCAGCACAGCGCGTTTCAACGCGAGATTTGTATGAGCAGTTCAGCCGAACGTTAGGTTTCCAATTGAGAGTTGCCGTCGCGGATCCTCAAGGCTTGCATATGGCGGCATAAGCTACCATATGCTTGTATGAAACTCAAGTAGGGCCTAAGTAGGGTGCCATGGACGAGTCAGATGATGGGGAGGCTGATCCCAGCCCACCGCCGCCGCCTCCTCCACCTGAGGAGCGTGAGCGCCGCCCATCGAATTCAAAGCTCACAAAGAGCCGCGTGGCTGCAGTTAGGGTTTAGGGTTTGGGGTTTGGGGTGTCTAGGGTTTAGGGTTTAGGGGAGCAGTTGCTTTCCACGTCCCAGCACAGAAACAAAGGTGAGCGCCTTGAGCGGCAGGCGGCAGAGAAGCCATCAGCAGAGTCAACACGGCTTTGGCACCTGCTCCAGGCAAGTGCAGGAATTGGGGTTGATCGAGGCTTGGGCCACCATGGGTAAATTCAGTCAACAGCGCTAGCTTTTGGAGTACTGTGTTCTCTACATGGCACTGTGTCTCCGGAGTTTTGGACTGAAAGGGCTCTTTCGCATGGCGCCTGTTAAACAAAGTCGGACCCCAAATTCTAGTTGCCCAACCTTGCAAGAGAGAGATGCTGCACCAGGAGAAAAAGAGTAGAGCAGTGGCTGAGTGGCTGAGCAACCCAGATGGGCAAAAGGAAGTCTGAAGCCAAGAGAAGCTGGAGGGGAATAGCTGGATAGAACTGCTGATCGAACAGCTGCCTCTTTGCTAGCAACTGAGGTCAACATCAAGGATAAAGCCTTCGGGTGGACCCCAGTACACTTTGCAGCGCATCTGGGTTCTAATCACCTGGTGAAGCTGTTGGTGGATGGGAAAGCACACGTCGACGCTTCTTGCAGCGAAGGCCAGGCATGTTGTACTGAAATGTGGTGATAGAACCGTTCTAGACATGGCTGGTAGCTGACCGTGTTGTTGCTGTGCTGAGTTCAGGCAACACGCCGTTGATGTGTGCCGCGCGGCAAAACAACGTCAGCGCCGCCAACTACTTGGTTGCCAAAAAGGCCAACATGAATTCCGACACCTGGCAGCAGGAACTAGGCCCAGGCCAGGTGCACGCACAGCTCCGATCCTCCGATGCTTCAGAAACGTCTTGTCTTTGCCAGTGCCTTAGGTCAACAACAACGGCTGGACAGCTTTGATCTGGTGCGCCATCAACGGCTGTGAAGATGTGGCGACTGCCCTGCTGACCTCAGGCGCAAACTATCTCAAAGCCGAGCCATGGTCCGAATGAAGAGTGTGGCGGGGAGGAGGGCTGAGTAGGAGGTTCATTGCAGAATGGCCCGACCGGAAGGATTGCTGCGGGAAGCCGGTAGCTAACCACAGGCCCTCATTTGTGACTACCTCCCAGCTTGTCTAGAGTTGCAGCCAAGGATAACGAGGGTCGCACTGCATGCATGTGGGCTGCACGCCATGGGCACTTGTCCATGGTGGAGACTCTTCTGGCCAATGGTCTCAACTTGCTGCAGGCCGATGAAGCCGGCCTGACGGTGTATGATCACGCGCAGGAACAACTAGAGATGCGCAGTATGATCGCAGCCGTCCAGGAGGTGAACGAGGAGTTACAGGCCGCGGCTAGAAACAATGACTATGATGGTGTGAAACGAGCAATAGAGGAAGGGGCGAACCTCAACGTGGAGGATGAGGATGGCTGGACACCCTTGATGTGGGCAGCACTTCATCAATCTTTGGATATGGTCCAGCTTGTCATCCGACATGGCGCCAACCCCAACCTCATTGATGAGCGCGGGGAGGTGCTTCAAATGCTCAGCACAGATCACCTGGCGGTGGGGGATTCTGTGGTGGAGATCGTTGGGTGCAACGAGCGATTGCTGGAGCATGCGAAGGCGGGCACTTTGTGGTGCATGATAGCAAGGGTGGTCAGTTCCTTCCCTGGGTGCGTGTACATCAACGATGTGTGCGGAACATCTGGTGTCAGTCTTCAGGTGTTCATGTAGCAATTGAATGTCACATGCAAGACGTGCATAGTTCGAGAATGCAAGTGGCGGAGAGGAGAGCTTTTACCATCACGTGGAGATGGCAGGTCATCGTTCAAAACTACACAAGTGCAACAAGCGCAGACATTAAAAAAGGAATTTGGCGATCTATCTGTCAGGCGGGGCGCTGGCAAGAAATTGATGCCGAGCTCGCCATTGGGGCCTGGGCTTCTTGTGTTGCAATAGTCCCACGGACCTGCTGCGTAGAAAGCTTGGTTTCTGTGCCTGTAGTCGTCCAGCAGGGAAGCTGACAGCTAACACGAGAGATCCGAGAAAGAATAGCCCGCCGGACTTGTTCTGGCACGGCTTTTTGTGTTTTACTCGGCATCATGTGAAGCTTGTTCCCTTACACACGACGGGTACTTCGCCTCGGAAGATACTCAGACTAGCGCATGCTAAGATATGGTGCGCAACGCGATGACTGCCGTTTGTGCTCGTAGGATTGTGCCTCCGTCATAGACTTTTCAGAAGTACCCGATAAGCGGCCAAGCGGCTTGCTTGGCTCCAGGTGAATGTCCGCGACGAGGCACGACGCACTGCCCTCCTTTGGGCTGCGCGCCATGGTGCATTCGATGCTGTGACGACACCCGGCAGCAAGGTGCTGGGATGTGTGGGATCCGGTTGCGGTTCTGGGGACAAGATGAAATGACCGCCGCTTCCGTTATTCATTGATTCAGTCATGTTGACAGTGGCCATTGTTTTGCACCTGGGTTGTCGAATTGGTTGTTGCTTACTAGCAGCAGACCTGCCACTGAATGCCAAACACGGCAAGTCACCACTAAGCGTCACATGCCACAATGAGGTCAGGTCGCATCGTGACCAGCACAAGACATGTGGTGCAGGACATGCTGTAACCCAGTTGCTCATGTCCACCAGTTTACCTGCGGCAGCCTCAATTGCCAGAACGGGCTAAACCAATATCAACGAGGAAACTGAGAAGTAAGTGCAATACATCACTTCGGAAGCTACCAGACCTTACATATCACACACCTGCAAGCAGATGTCGGAAGCCCAAAGAGATCCATTTTCTCTCGGTCAGACACTTCTCGAGCTGTCATGGCGACACGCGCTCGAACATCTCCACGTCTTAAAGGCCGCGTCCAAGAATCCAAGCCGCTACCAAGGAACCTGGTTAACAAGAACGCTGATTTGGACGCTCGGGACGAGTTTCTTGGACAAAGAAGTAGTGTTGCCGCGTCGGGGTTGAGATTGATACATGGATCCCATGAGGAGCGGCTGGCTTCCCGTACATTGGGCGGCGCAGTCTGGAAGCGTTGAGACCCTGTGCAATCTACATCACCTGGGCAGTGACTTTACTTCCCGAACTTATGTGGGGGAGACGGCGCTTCACATTGCTGCGCAGTACAATGATGGGGCCATGATTCAGGTTCTCCTCGCGTCAAATGCAGATATTGAGGAGTTGAATGTGGACCTGCGAACTGCCCTCCACATGGCTGCTGCTAACGGACAAACAGTCGCTTTGCAGACCCTTCTTTTCTACAAGGCGGATCCCGACAAGGTCGTTGAGGATGACTCTGGTCTGACGGCATTTCTTCTGGCGGTGACGAACCATCGAGAGACGGCCGTCCAAGCAATGCCCCTTTGAAAACATGTGCACCACGTGGGTCAGCATAGCTGTTGTGAGCGACGGCTAGCTCCCATGGGATCCGCACAATTTGGAGGACGTAACATCTAGCTTGACAGTAGAGGTTTGGAGGGAAGACGCAGGCTCGTGTTGCAAGGCATGTGCAGGCTTTCGTTTGGTCGCGACGGCCGGTAAAGCAAGATCCAAGCATTTCTGGGGTCCGAGCGCTGCTTGCTCCAGGCTGCAAGATGTGCCTGCTCCTCCCAAGCTGCCCCATTTTCACATTGCAAGCCTCCTGGCGGCATGGAGAAATGTTAAGGCATGTCTGAAGTATGGAGCGCTTGATGTATTGCCCTTGCTTGCATGGACAGGCGTTGCTTCTCCAGAGAAGGCAAAGAAGACAAAGAATCCTCATACAGAACGAGATGCGACGAAGGGTACAGCCTCCATGAAGAGTAGTCAGGGTTTCCGCGCCAATGTCAAGCCTTCCTCATCGGCAAAGGCTGCAGCTTGCCCAAGTTTGAAACGGGCTTTGCGTGTGTGTGTGTGTGTGTGTGTGTGTGTGTGTGTGTGTGTGTGTGTGTGTGTGTGTGTGTGTGTGTGTGTGTGTGTGTGTGTGTGTGTGTGTGTGTACGACTGTGTGACTGTGCGACTGTGTGACTGTGTGTCTGTGTGTGTGAGAGAGAGTGAGTGCGTGTCTCTGTCTCTGTCTCTGTGTTTCTCAGTGCCTGCCTGCCTGCCTTGGAGAAGCCTTGAGATGCCAAAGGTGGCGGCACCGACTCCAAAGTCGAAGGTGGGCAGCCGCAAGAAGCTGGTAAAGGACCATTGGCAACATCGAGATAAACGTGAATGTGGGTGGCATAAGCTCCTACTATACACGCGACGATTTTTTACAAACTTGCAAGGACACAAGGGAGAAGCGGGGTGAACATCCACGTGCCTTGCTGGAGACCGCTACGGAGATCCGATCCAAGCTGATCAAGCACCTGGGCCCGGAATTCGGTTGTAGAATGCAAGTGGCGTGACGTCATGCAGGGCTTTCTTTGGAGCATCTCAGGACGACTTATCCCAGCATTGCCAGGAAGGTCCTCAAACAAACGGACTGTGATGCTAGAAGCGCTCTGGGACTTGCAGTGCTCAACCGCAGCTCGAACATCATCCAAATTCTCATAGATGCCAAGGCAGACCTCGAAACAACAGACTCACAAAACAATGGTATTTTACACTATGCTGCTATGAACAGGGATCGCGAGGTGGTGGCCCTGCTCATGGAGTTAAATGTCTGCATCGACAGGGAAAACATGGAAGGCATGAAGCCTTCTGACCTGTGCGAGGATGCAGACATTTTGTACATGATCGCCCGTAAGTTGGTCAGCAAGAAGCTGGCCAGCATGCCCGGCCATCCAAATCCGGGCCAGCCGACCCCGCCAAAGACTCATCCAGCATTGGAAAGTGGGGACCCCGTGCGAAAGCACCGCATCCGTTTCGAGGGCTTGCAGGTCTCTTTATCGCAAGAGAACATTACAGAGCAGTTGAAGCTCTTCATCAAACAACGGGGTGCGCCGAAGGCCAGCCGAATTGAAGTTGCACTTGACCCAATTACAGCACGTCCCAAAGGTCATGCATATGCAGACTTCGCTGATGTGTCGTCTGCCGAGCTAGTTTTGCAGGGTGATGGCAAGCCCATGAATGGGCAGCCAATTCGCGTTTTCTTTGAGATCCCGCTCCATTTGAGCCCCCATGCTGCAGTCTGACCATGCACGAAAAAACGCAGTCTCGACTGTGGACCTTGCCATCTGCATGCTCACCTGGGGGAGAAGCACAGTATGCAGCTGAGTGCCGGATGCCTGTAGCTGCTATAGCTGCTTGTGCCGTCCAGAGGTTGGCAGCATACTGATTGTCGGAGCCTCGAGCTAAAGATCTCAGCTTCAGCACTTTCATGGACCGGTTAAGATCGTCTGTGTGGGGGGCGAAGCTTTGCTTTTCTTTTCATTTGGACACCCTCAGGAGCTCATGCCGCACATGCAGCTTCTCCACCAGCAGCTCTGCCGTGTCAGTCCGGGCACGGTGCTTGGGATGGAAACACGCCAAGACAAGGGTCTCCGCCATCCACGAGTCGGATTGTGACAGGTGGTACTCTGTTGGTTGACTGCATCCCCAAGAGCCAATATGAAGAAGATGCACTTTGCTCGAACCAGTGCCCAAGGGAGGCCACACGATCCCATTTCGAAGCGAAGCAGCAAGGGAGGCAAGACCTGGGGGCATGTCACACGATCAGGCTTCCAAAGCGAAATTCGGAGCGCACCACGAGACCCGATTGTGTTTGTTCATGGTTTGCGGCGATAATCTTTGTGGTGTTCGTGGGAATGAAAGGGAGAAACCACTCCCAGAAAAGCAGCACTCCCTCAACACTCGCAGCAAAAAAAAACATCCTCGCAGCAACAGACACGGGCCTGCATCCGCAACAAAAACACGCTCGCAAGCCCTTTCTCCTGGAATCCATGAAGCTTTGGGACTTTGTCGACGATTGAATTATGATGGAAAGTTACATGTGGTCTCTTATGCAACGCTTGCGTTCTAGAAGGCTGGTCTGCATCTGCCTTACGTGCACAATGTGCACACATAGCCGTATATGTTTGGTCACTGCCTCCCCATGTAGCCGCGTTCCTTGTAAGGCTACAATGGAATGAGTAGTGAATGGACGGTGGTTCTTTTGCAGCTCTGTCAGCATAAGCAGCGACAGCCACTGCAAACGCATGCGGGCTGGAGCGGAGAGAGCGAGAGAGAGAGAGAGTCCACTAAGCACACTGCAAGCAAGCAAGCAAGCAAGCAAGTCCACTTCGCATTTGTTCGTGAGGTGAGATGATTTCGTGGGATGCGACTCGCATGTATGCGCGTCGGGCTGAGCTTCACTTCGCCCTCTGAAAAGACGCACTTCCGTTTCAAACGAGCAGTGGGCTGGAACTGAAGCAATCATGAACATTCTTGTGCATGGTGTCCTTTCTGTTCTTGAGACATGCTTCAGGTATGGTGGCCTGTCAGCTTTGCTCGGGTTCGCCACCCAAACTTGGAAGCAGCGGCTGTGTGTTAAATTCCAAAAACCAAAGCGTGACTGGACTGGGCAACGCTAAGGTTGCGCCACGTCTGTATCATAGGCCTATGCTGCAAGTTGTTGCCTTTGAGCAAGCATGGTAGTTTCACCTTGCAGGTGCAGTACCCACATGTAGGAGTCAAAAGGCTGGCGCCACTGTTGCCGACCCGGACGTTGGATTTTGAAGCAATGGAAGGTGGCTCACGAGCCGCCCAGACATCACAAGCAAGTCAAGGCTCAGGAATGTTGCTCGCGGAAGCGCGTGAGGAATCTCTGGCCATGTTTTTCTTTTCTGAAATCCTGCTTCCTAAACCCTACACTCAAGACCCTCTATAGTTCCGTAATTGCCGCCGGTTCAAAAAAAGGCCCTCGCAAGCAGCGCCGTTACAGCCTGGACGTATTCAGCATTTCTCAAAATGGGATGGGTCGTGGTCACGGAATCTAATATTATCATTATCGAATATACCAAATGTCCATAATCTCGTAATGTTATAGTCAGCGCGCCCTGCCCCAGGACTTCCTGCTGCTCCAAGTTCGAGGCACGCTTTTTTTAATGACAGTTGTGGCTGGCCCTGACCTGCTCCAACACGCATGCACGCACACACGTGTCAAATACTCTCGAAGCTTGCCGTACTACAAGTAGTTTGGAGAGTACATGTTGAAGTGAAGGCAGCGAAGGTCGTTGTATTCAATGATGATGGGAATGCTGCAAAAGACTCTATAGATTGTGGCAGCTGCGCCATGAACCTACTATTTTCTAGGCCGTGGTAGATCAATGCACTCAGACTGCGGCTGGCTTGCACATGCAGAACACGCATGCAACACTTAAAACTTTGAAGTGCGGACACCAGCTTCAATAGTCATTGCACAGGTATTCTATTGGCAGGTACGCCTACCTATACAAGTATCCAAGGACCATAGAGCGTCATTGGTGCGAGCTGTGTCGCAGGACTTCGCGCCCCTGCTGTCAAAATCGCAGTTAAGTGAAGAACTTGACGTATCCCGCAACTGGGAGGGAAACACACAGACACACAGACACACAGACACACAGACACACAGACACACAGACACACAGACACACAGACACACAGACACACAGACACACAGACACACAGACACACAGACACACAGACACACAGACACACAGACACACAGACACACAGACACACAGACACACAGACACACAGACACACAGACACACAGACACACAGACACACAGACACACAGACACACAGACACACAGACACACACACACACACACATCCACCCCTTGCGAGCGAGAGTAATGGCCTTTTTCGATTGTGCACGCATGAACTGAATGCGAGAATTGAGGCTGCATCTCTGAAGATGTGAAGCCCGCTGTTGGCACGTTGAGTGCCGTGAATACCTGCTGGGAGGGCACTGTCCATTCTCTTGTTCTGGGATCGCCAACTGCGCTCCTGTTTCATGATGTTGCCAGCACAAGCAAAGGCCGGCGCTTGGGCAAACACGTTGGCAGCCAGATGTTGAGAATGGCAGCACACTTGCCTGGCACATTGACAGCAGCGAATATGGCGCTTCATACAGCAGGATGGTGGATAGCTTTGTTGGGTGCAGTCTCCACTGTGCTCTGCACCCTCCGCCTTTTACGTGCATTAACAGAATAAGTTAGAACGCTGCAAAGACGAAAAAGCCGAAGAAGTGGCCGTGACCCCCTGCGCCTATGAACTAGTGTGGTCGCACACGGTCACACACACACACAGACAGACACACACACACACACACACACACACACACACACACACACACGGTCACACACGGTCACACACGGTCGCACACGGTCCCACACGGTCACGCACGGTCACGCACGGTCACTCACACACGGTCACACGCGGTCACACACTAACACAAACCTACCTTTTCGTGGAAGGCCATCGCTTGGATTGGAGCTGGGGACTTGGTGGTCTTCCGATGTCATGGCCTGCTCCTTGGAGAAGAGTAGAACACTGCAGGCAGTGCAAGACGCGTCTAAGTCACGTTCATGTGAACACTAGGGGCACGCAGCACGCCAGCAATGACCTTGCTTATGCTGATGTTCGATTCGTGGAGGCGAATATCACCGCCTTGAACCAAACCCTGCTCGCTGCTTTGGACCAGTTGGATGGCAGTGACCTTAGAGACTCTGTTTCAGTACTTCGTATCACAAGGAATTTCACGGTCTGCAGTCTTCAGCTTAGATTGTTCCTTAGCGAAAGTCATCCATCCTGATAGCAGCTCGAGTAATTTGAGGTTGCAAAGAAGGACCATGCAGCCATGCTTACATCTACACGTGTTCATGTGGCCCCTGTTACGTGGTGTCGATAATTAAGCTTGAGTTGCTTCGGGTGTTCTTTTCGTGCGCACCTCAGGGTTGAACGGCATATACGTAGTTGTTTTTTGCCTTCCAGTGATTCATGTGGAGCGCTCGCAGATGGACTTGGTACCTGAAAGCCCGCCAACGTCAACTGACATCAACCTGCCTGCGTGGCCGTTGCCAATCGAAGCCAACCAAATCCACACCCTGTCCTGCAGGAGTTACACGCTTTTCGCAAAATTCCGAAAAACGACAAGCAATGAAAAGTGCTGTGGAACGGGGCGCTCCCGTGTAAGACCAGACGCCGTATTCTTCAGTCGGTTGTCCCTTTGATTCCTGATCACAATACGTAAAGACCCTAGGAGGGTTTAATTTGAGATTCCTGTGCAAACTTGCAGGCATCAAGGTGCCTCATTGCTCGAGGACTCACAATTCCGATGTATATTCATTAGCCTCAAAACCGAAACTACAAACAATGTGGCGAAGTCTTTCTAAGTCTAAGTCCTATCACGTCGCCCTTCCATAAGTTTTCACAACAATTCAGAGATTCGCTAATGTTCGCAAACATTCGAAAACTTTGCCCAAGCTGCTAAACCTGCCTGAGCCCCGAAGTCTTTATTTCCGCGACATCCGCTTTTCGCGACAGTTCACATCAAATATTTATCTTGCGCGCGAACGCCAAAACTAACTCGACCATTCCGAAAAGTTCAAAGCCATTCCCAAAAGTCGGTGAGTTCTCCCTAAACAAAGCGAACGCTTGAGCGAAGCCGCCAAATGTTCGCAAACATCTCAGATGATCGTGCCATCCCCTGTCTGTTCTTATTGCAACACGGGTGGTGGACGTCCAAGTTTGTCTCAAGCCCAGGTAGTGCCAGGTGGGAGGGCAAGGGGGTATAGTCTGTGAATGAGACGATTATCCAATCTGAGGCGTTCATTCACATGGGTAGCGGTTGGCCCTAGTAGTTGGCGAGGGTGCGGTCCAGTTTACACTGCTTCTTGTGGGCGAGAGAGGGGGATGGAGGGGGCGATATCCTGTGTTTGGGAGCCACATGCATTCTGCTTACTGCGCCGACTGTGCGAGGTCACGATGGCCTGCACGCTTGGATGGAACAAAGTCGCTGCGCAATCCTGGTTGATGCTTGAGAGAGGGGTGAGAAAGAGAGCCAACAGCGCCCCCAGCTTGAGCCATGCATGCGTCACGAAATCTGGTGCGAGGGAAAGTGGAAAGCTAGGAAATTCAAAATCACACCCTAAACCCAAAAACATACCCAAAAAAAACACACCCAAAAGAAAATCTGGCTCCTTCTTCGCGGGGTCTTACCAACTCGAGTAGGGCCATGGATGGCCACAGTTCAGACGGGGGGAGGAAGGGGGTTTGGATGATTTGCTGCCGGCCGGTCGTCCTTGCCGCTTCTACACTACCAGTATGTTTCTGCAGGTCCCCGACAAGATCCTACAGGCAAAATTCACGGCGACGGTAAGTAGGTGCGATTGGGCTAAAAGGTGGAAGTTCGCGGTCGGCATCTAATAAGTTGGGTTCCCGAAACACGGGAGAAGAAGAGAAACAAGGAAGAGAGAGGGGGACCGGGCGCATGCGAAGAAGAGAAGGGAGAATGCACCCTTGGCTGCCACTCTGTGTCGAGGTATATTGGGGTTCAGTGTTCGTGAGCAGGACGCACCAGCGGTCGATGCAACGGATGCCGCAGAGGCAAACAAGTGGGACAGTAGACATGCGTCAGATATTCTGATGCTTCGCCACTATGTTTGCTTACAATGGAGGAGCGTCAAGACAGTCATGCCGCCAACATGATTGCCGTTAGTTTGTTGTAGAGCCCGGTCTCTGATGTGTTGAGTCTGCTAGTGGGTAGCAAAAATAGGTTGTCCTATTGTGCTTGGGAAATTTGGTGTGGAAAGTCCGGTCCGTCATGTTGAAGCTCTAAGGCACGCCTTTCCGCCACATGTCTACGTTGCTTGTGCTTGGTGCATGTGCATGGTGCCGCCATGTGTAGTATAGTATAGTATCTTGTCGTATATATAGTATACAGTATAATATAGTATATTATAGTAGATTTATAGTATATTATAGTTTATTATAGTATATTATAGTATATTACAGTATATTATAGTATATTATAGTATGTTATAGTATATTATAGTATATTATAGTATGTTATAGTATATTATAGTTTATTATAGTATATTATAGTCTATTGTTGTGTCTTCTGTTGCTCTGTCCTTATGCAGACTGCCCAGCGTTGTGCTGGGTCAGAGCCGACGCAAGAGGGAGGCCCGGGGCTCGGAAAGCCATGTCGCTTCATGGCAAGGTCTTCGGTATATACAGTATATTATAGTATATTATCGTATGTTATGGTATGTTATAGTATGTTATGGTATGTTATGGTATGTTATAGTATGTTATGGTATGTTATAGTATGTTATAGTATGTTATAGTATGTTATAGTATGTTATAGTATGTCATAGTATGTCATAGTATGTTATAGTATGTTATAGTATGTTATAGTATGTTATAGTATGTTATAGTATGTTATAGTATGCTATAGTTCCCCAAACAGTGCTTGCACAATGGGGTTCTTACGTTCAGAGTAAAGGAATTGGTTGCTGACCGCAACGGCGCGCGCGGCGGTGGGACGGGCCTTGGCTTCGACGCTCCCGCTGTGGTTTCGCGCGAATTCCGTTGCGTTTCGATGCTGCCACTGTGGTTTCGCGCGAATTCCGTTGCATTTCGATGCTCCCGCTGTGGTTTCGCGCGAATTCCGGCCTCTCGTGGCCTCTTCAGGCCTCTTCTGGGGGCGACCGCAACGGCGCGCGCGGTGCGACGGGTCCTTGGTTTCGACGCTCCCGCTGTGGTTTCGCGCGAATTCCGTTGCGTTTCGATGCTCCAGCTGTGGTTTCGCGCGAATTCCGTTGCATTTTGATGCTCCCGCTGTGGTTTCGCGCGAATTCCGGCCTCTCGTGGCCTCTTCAGACCTTTGGGGGGGCCACTTTAGGTTGCTGACCGCAACGGCGCGCGCGGTGGGACGGGGCCTTGGTTTCGATGCTCCCGCTGTGGTTTTGCGCGAATTCCGTTGCGTTTCGATGCTGCCGCTGCGGTTCGCGCGAATTCCGGCCTCTCGTAGCTTCTTCAGGCCTCTTCTAAAGGGCCGCTGAGGTTGCCGACCGCAACGGCGCACGCGGTGGGGCGGGGCCTTGCTTTCGACGCTCCCGCTGTGGTTTCTCGCGGTTTCTGTTGCGTTTCGATGCTCCCGCTGTGGTTTCGTGCGAAATCTGTTGCATTTCGATGCTCCTGCTGTCTGAAGCGATGGGAACACTTGAAAATGAAGCTTTTAGCTGGCTTTGTGATTGTTCACAATGTTTAGCGGGGGCTTTAGGGTTTAGGGTTTGCTGGGTTGAGCCCTAAGCCCTAAGCCCGAAAAAAAACCCTCTGAGCCCCCAGTGGTTGGCGTCTTTTTGACCCCCAAGGGAATTCGGGCCCCCACGAACTTTTGTACTTTTTGTCCCCGGTAGTGTCGGTGCTCTTCTGGCCTTCTTTGGCCTTTTCTGGCCCTCCTCACTGTTTGGGGTCTACGCTGGCGTAATAGTATGTTATAGAATATAGTATGTTATAGTATGTTATGGTATGTTATAGTATGTTATAGTATTAGTAAATGATAGTATATTTCTAGCATATTATAATATATTATTGTATATGGTATTTTAACCAAGTCGTCCGAAGAAAGAGTTGGAGGGTGAAAGGGCCCATTGGCTCAGGTCCTCATGCATCTCTGCTCGCCACAATGGCTGCGCCGAACCCATAGACCCAAGGTCACAGTGCCCTGCATGCTGAACTCGCATGCGGGTGTGTAGGACCTGGGCAGACTAGGACAGGGCAACCCTGTTTGTTCGAGCGTAAAATGGCGCACATGTTGAATGGCGGAATGGACTAGAATCCTGAAATTTCCATCCAAGCCATCACACATGCAACGGTCAATAAGTCTTATGTCCTTCTTCGTAGCTCGTATCTTGGCAGCGACCGACGCGAGAGACTTCTGTCCCCAAAAGCGTCAATCATATAAGAGGCCACTAAACACAAAGCATCGGAAGATGTGTCCGGCAGTGAAATCGGATCAGCTGACAAGATTGGTAAGGGTAAGAGACTCGGGCTTCCGGCGGTGGCCTCAGCGACATGTGCACGCATGTGCGCGGCGTGGCAACATGATGGAGATGCATTCCTGGAGAAGTAATCGTGTCTTTCCTGGCTTTCTTCCAGATGGCGATACGTCAATCTAGTAAATCCTAAACCTCGGTTTGAAACATGTAACCATTTAAACGTAAACCCACAACTCAACCCCAAATCCTGAACCCTAAGCCCTAAACCCTTCACCTTAAATCTGCGTGCGAACGAGGGCAGTGCGTGGCAAAAAACCCTAAAATTTAGGTAGGGTTTGGTATGTACTGTGGGAAATGATTTAAGGATTTGTATGTCTAATTACATCCTATATCGTAAGTCCTAGAATCTATTTCTTTGGGAGAAGGTATTGAGATTTCAAAAATCTGAAAGTTTCTATTTTGACGAGTTCATAAATATGGTTAATCGTTCTTTGAGGGGGGAAGAGATATGTCTTATGATTAATTGGAACTTCTCTGATTTAGGAAAGATGTATATATACATGTATATGTTTTATATTTATACAGATTACTATATATTGGATATGATTTCATTTTCATATTTCTCATTCAATAGAAGGGTTCACATTTTCATTCTTTAATATGCAATCGAGTTTATTTCATGCATGTTTGTGCTTTTTGGTGTGCCATTAGGATATCTGTGTTTCATATATAGATTGCAGAAGATCTTTCGCCAAATTTGTCAAATATTCAGGAATGATCAGAATTATCTTCATGAACTGTTTCTCCTATATATTTTCTATATAAAACGGCGCTCTCCTATGTGATGTCGTCCGTACGTGTCGCCCAAAACTTTGGGCCGTTTCACTCAAACTCTGGGAAGTTTCACGAGAATGGCCCAAGGTCCCTCTTCATGAAAATTCCTGGGAAAGTCATTGAAATGGTTTCTCGAAGGCAAGCAACACCTTACACATATCGTAGAATGGAGGCCTTCCAACGATTCATTCGTAGAACTTTTCTGGAATTGTTTTTAAACGGTCTCGGGACCCTTTTCATGAAAATCCTTGATTTTTTTGCCAATGAAAGTTTCGGAGGGATATATATGTATATACATATATATATAAATATATTCATTATGTATTGATTCATGTATTTGTGCTTTTGTTTATTTGCTTATTTGCTTATTTGCCCATTTGCTTATTTGCTTTTTTGTTTTTCGTTTTTTGTTTATTTGTTTATTTGTTTACTTGTTTATTTGTTTATTTGTTTATTTGATTACTTGTTTATTTGTTTATTTGTTTATTTGATTACTTGTTTATTTGTTTATTTGTTTATTTGTTTATTTGTTTATTTGTTTATTTGTTTATTTGTTTATTTGTTTATTTGTTTATTTGTTTATTTGTTTATTTGTTTATTTGTTTATTTGCTCATACATACGTACATACATACATACATGCATGAAAACATGCGTACATGCATGCATACATGCATACATGCGTACATGCGTACATGCGTACATGCGTACATGCATACATGCATACATGCATACATGCATACATGCATACATGCGTACATGCGTACATGCATACATGCATACATGCATACATGCGTACATGCATACATGCATACATGCATACATGCATACATGCATACATGGTTCAGCGTCGAGCGTCCTGGGTATCCCCCCCCCCCCCCCCCCCCCCTAAACCCTAAACCCTAAACCCTAAACCCTAAACCCTAAACCCTAAACCCTAAAACCTAAACCCTAACCCTAAACCCTAAACCTTAAGTCTTAAACCTTAAACCCTAAACCCTAAAACCCTGAACCCTAAACCCTAACCCTAAAACCAACCCCCAACCACACCACAGGGGGGGGGGGATCATCTTAGTACCCCATCCGCGGGGAAAACCCTAAACCCTAAACCCTAAAACCCTAAACCGTAAACCCTAAACCCTAAACCCTAAAACCCTAAAACCCTAAAACCCTAAACCCTAAACCTAAACCCTAAACCCTAAAACCCTAAAACGAACCCCCAACCACACCACAGGGGGGGGGGGGGGGGGGGGGGTACCATTGAGGGGGGGGGGGTTGGGGGGGTAGGGGGGAGGGGGGGGGGGCCCGCCGGGGCTGAATCATACATGCATACATGCGTATGCATATGCATGTACATATTTGTATGTATATACCCTGCACATATGGCTTTTCAGAAGCGTTTGGGGCCCATGCTGCAGGCGACTAACCTTGGGGCAGTACGAAACTTCCACAACCCCCCAACTCCAACCATCAGGAGGCTTTGGGGTTTTGAAGTTTTGGGGTTCAGGTATTAGGGTTTAGGGGCCGGAGGCAAGATTCCTGCAGACGCCCTTCTCGTTTTCCTCCGCAGCTTCTGTTGCACAGCCCCCGAGCTTCCCAAACCTGATGAACCCCGATACCCTACCACCCAAAAAGGGAAAGGCTCAGCCAATCCAAGGAGCACCACCCAAACCCTTCAAATCCTCAATCCGTCTCAGCCTTGAGGCTTTAGGGTAGACAGAGATCCGATGGGGCAAGCTCCAAGCGGCGACACTTGCTGCTCGCCGTGCGAGCCGAAACAGAAGGCGGAGGTAGAGCAGGTTACACACCGGCCTGCGTCTGTGTTTCAGGATGGGCTGGGCCGGCCTGGGGGGTTTCGGGCTCCTGCTTGTTGTTTAGGGCCAAGGTTTATAGGGCTTGAGCTTGCTGTTCCAGGAGTCGAGCGATGCCGGCCTGCAGGACATACAGCTGGAGGAAGTGCCCGTGGACGCGCACGGCTCGACCAAAACACTGGACCTCACCCTAACGGACCGCCAGCTGCTGCGGGGGATCCCTTTCTGCCAGACACTCTGGTGGGGCGGTCGAGTCTGGAGGCACCCGCCCGACGCACTGAGCGTCTCGGAGCGCTCTCAGCTCTATGCCTCGTCCAGGCCGGTAGAAGGACTGGACCGGTTCCTCTCTCACACTTGGCTTACGCCGGGATGGCGAAAGGTCCTGTCTTTGCTCCTCAGCAGTGGCTGGCCTTGCATGCTTGCCGGTTGGGTGCTGGGAGTTACCCTTTCGATGGTGCTCTGCATGCTGGAGGTGCTGCCTCTCACCTTTGAAACGGAAGGCACTGCGATCGGGTTCTCGGGCGTCATTCCAATGAGCTACTGGGTCTCGCTCTTCGGGACCTCGGCGGCCTTGGTGGGATTGTTCGTCTCTCCCTATCTGCCGTGCCGCAAGCGAGACATGTGCTTTGTTGATGTAGCATGCATCCACCAGGGGGACCAACGCTTGATGCAGCAGGGCATCAACAACCTCGGAACTTTTCTGGAAGCATCCGAAGAGTTGCACGTGCTTTGGGACACGCCCCTGTTCTCGCGCCTCTGGTGTGTATTTGAGCTCGCGGCCTTTAGCAAGTTGAACCCGAAGGGCAAGATTACCATAGCCCCTATCTACGTGGAGGCGGTAGCTTCTCAGCTCTTCTTGATTCTCTTCGCCATGAGTGGCCTGGCGCTACTCCTGAGAATTCGAGTTGCAAGCCAAGAGTTCTTGCTGCTTACCTTGGCCTCCTGCGCCCTGATGTTGGCTCCGATGCTGCATTCCTTGCGGGGCAAGTGCCGCTGGAAAGTGGAGCTGGACGACGTTCTGGCAAACTTTGATGTTTTAAATGTGGACTGCACCATGGAGGTTGACAAAGCTAACATCCACGCCGCCATTGAGCAGTGGTACGGCAGCCTCCCTGCGTTTTCCGAGTTCGTCCAGGGCCTCGTCCGTGTGAGGGCACGCGAGCTGACCCGGACCCCTGGCCGCATGCCCTTGGGCTACATCTACATGCTGGCAGCTCCCAGCGCGAACTGGTCGCTCGATGTCTGGCTCGGCCTCTGGAAAGCAGGTGCCCCCTCCGAGGGCCTTGTGGCCTGGCTCGTTGCTTTGTCATGGTTGGGTAGCAATTTCACATTCTTGTGGGTACTTAGATTCAAGAAAGAATGGACATTTGCATGGTCTAATACTGACCCAACCATGAACTAGGTTGGGGGCTTCATCGCCTTTACCCTGATTTGGTTTCCCGCAGTGATCGTGCTCGTGGTCTTCGCCTGCGAGCGCTGGGCGCAACGTCGGTCCAGCAGATTGAGGGACTGCCTCCAGACCTTGGCGACCCACCTTAGTTTGGGGGTTTAGGGGGGTTTAGGGGGCGAAAGCCCGAGGCCCCCCCACCCTCCTGCCGATCTCAACATCTTTCCTGGGTGGGACTTTACTACAACTTTAACACTTCATAAGTTTAGGGTTCCTCTAATTTCATATTTAGGGAGCTAAAAGTTAGCTTTTTCTTGGGGGGTAAAGAGCAACCAGTTTCTGAGGTGATCTACCTCTTGACCTTCGCTGCATTCCTTGTCGGAGCCGTGGGCGCCAATCGTGCATGCAACTGGGCTCTTGTTCAGGAATTTAGTGTAAATTCCTAGAATATAGATCCCCTATCATTTACGTTCCGATCCCCAATGCTGTTTTTTTGAGCCCTGTGACGGTAACTTAAATTAAGGTCCTCCTAAACCCCCAAACCCTAAGCCCCAACCCTAAACCCGAAAGCTCCTTTAAATTCCTCCTTCAACTCTAAGCCCTAAAGTTCCTTAAGAAGA